CGCCGCGTGTTTACCCCTGTGCCGGTGTACCTGGCGTGTACGTGACCGCTGCTTACCTAGCGTGTAGCGCCCCGGGCTCCCGCCCACGCGGACGGCGCGCGCCTGTCCCCGGTACAGCAGCCACTCGGCTGCGCGGGTCAACGGCGTTAGCCGACGTCGCGGTACGTCGCGGCGTCGCCGCCGCGGTCGCCCTGACCGGGCCAGGCTGTGCAGATTATACCTGCCCCGCTGTTACCTGCTGTGCTACGGTGCCCTACGTGATCCGTCATCTATACGCTTCTCGCCGTTCGCCTCCTGTACCGCCTGCCGTTATAGTCACTCAGCGTAAGCGTCAGTGCCCGCTCGCTCACCGCGTGTACGTGCACCTGTACGGTAATCTGCGCTTACCCGCTTCAGCCGCCTGCGTGCCCTTTACGCTGCGTGTACCTTGGCCGCTGTACGCTTGTCTAATGCTCATCCGCCGTGCTACGTGCGTGCTACGTGCTCGTGTTGCCCCGCGTTGATCGCTGCCCGCTGTTATCTCGCGTCTGCTACTGGTGCGTTGCCTACGTGCACCTGTGCTCAACCGCGGTTTACGTCGCGCGCTATAAATAAACCCGCACGCGTTGTACTTGTGCGGTGTATCGATAGTTTCCTACCATTGCATTACCGGCTGCCAATGCTCTCGCGGCGCGACTGTTGCACGCTTACACTAATATATAGAGTATTATTATACTCTAGTATAGTAGTATTATTATTACACTATATCGGCGATAATAGGTGAAAGAGAGTAGGCCTATAGTATAAAAACATTAAGAATTTTTTAGTAAATAGATTTCGTATTTAGTTAGCATTATATTTTATTGAAACGCTTCAAGTGCCTGTGTGCGCGGACCATTCGTTCCGTGCGCTAGCAACACGCTGTGCATTCGTTGGATTTTTTAACATGTGCGCCCTGTATACGCTCTGTATGCGCCCTGTATACGCGCAGCGCGCTAGCAACACGATGTGCATTCGTTGTCAACTCGCTAGCTTCTCCCAAATCCTGACAAAAGTTGGGCGCACAACGACGCACTGATCTTATTTTCCATTTTTTTATTAATTTTCAATGCGCGGGCCGTGCGTCACGTATGTGTGACTGGGCCATACCAGGAATGTCATTGTGTGGCATATGTAAGCTTGAAATTGGTCCTTCCTATTTCTTGTTACATGCTGCCAACATGCTCATGAAAAATAGCCAGTATAAGAGAAGAACGTAGTAGAATATGTAGATCATAGAGGAATTCGTAAACTGATATGTACTGTATCGGCAGTCCTCGTGGCTAAAGCCTTAGACGATGCAGCGCTATTATATGGCCGAGTTAAGACTCACTCTTTCTCGTGTCGCTTGTTTGTCTGCGAACGAAAATCAGCGGGCACTGGCTAACTTCAACGTCTGATTCCACCTTGTGGTGAGATCTGAATCAAGATAAAGTAATAACGAATGGTCTCCGGTGTCGTAAATTGACCGACTTTTCAGAAAACTCGCCTGACAAGAACGCCACCAGCTATCGATTTTGTCCTCTCGTCGGTCGAACGAGAGAAAATCGCGTGCCTTGCGACTGAAAGGGTCGAGGATCACTGCTGTCGCCTATTAAAACACAGTGGCAATTAATGCATAGCCAATACACCAAGCTCGTTAATTCTAGCTCTTCGTGAATTGATGACTATGTTCCAAGGGAGTGACGAGCTATAAGGCGTAATATCCACTACACTTACAGCAACTAGGTGACACGTGTGCACTGTAGCGCTGGATAACCTGAAGGCATGATATGCATGACGCAACAGAATTACCCCGCATGCGACCGCCTGTACAGTTTGCAGACTGTACACAGCAGGATATGGCAATACATTAACTTAACAACTTTCCATGGCTAAACATAACAGATTCGAATCTTGGTCGAAATTGTGCGTGTATTTGTATGAGCATTTTTTCCGTTTGATGTTTTTACGAGTCAACAGTGTTGTAACTTATAACAACACAGTTAAGATGTTGTACCGTTCTCCCCTCAAGCGTGGTACATCGATATTAGCAGTAAAAACGCCTAACGAAACTGACCTGCTTACGTGACAATACAGTTGTGTTTGGTTTTATTTCCTTTTTGTACGTACTGGTGTAGGCTTCTAATGTTTACGATGAAACATTTACAGAGAATCATGAAAAAAACTCTAGAATTCAGGAAGTCTCGCCAAGATTGATGGATCTGATCTGATCCGTCACTATATAGACTATTAGTGATATATCCATAGCTACAAGCAATCGCGTATTATCAGAAGTAGATAATAGGGACTACTTCTGGTATTATGAAGCGCAATCTGTGAGCAATCTTAACGCGCAATCTTAACGCACTGTGAGTTTCCCGAACCACGATCATGAGTGCCGCATCGGTAGTTGTTGACAATCTTATTTTAACACTTTTTCTACAGCGCAAAATTCGTTAAGTGGTAAATCGCTTAGTACACGCGGACTTTTCATGATGGCCCGGTTATGTTATTATCATCATCGACACCGTAGCGCCCTTAACTGACGTAACTTACTAGCCTCCTGCGTCCAAAAAGAAATATCCAAAAACCAAAAAAACGGAGAGAATGTGGGGGGGGGGAGGAAAGAATACTAAGTGATGGATAGAAATGAGCACACACGCGCGCACACACACACGCACGCACGCAGAGAGAGAGAGAGAGAGAGAGAGAGAGAGATCGGAGGCAGGGAGAGACGAGAGAGAGAGGGAGGAAAGAGAGAGAGAGGAGAGAGAGAGAGAGAGAGAGAGAGAGAGAGAGAGAGAGAGATAGAGAGAGAGGGCAGGAGAAGGAGCGCAATAGATAGCGCGAATATGAATGGCAGAGTGTGGAAGGAACGAGAGCGAGCAACATATAACTGTCTCCTTCATAATAATAATCATCCTTATCATATCATATCACATCATATCATCCTTCAACTGATGTCTAATTCATGTAGTATAGTACAGCAGTGGAGCAGCGCCCTTAGAGCGCGCGTAAATTACGTTACCGGTGATTTTACTGGAGAAATTCTTGGCGATGTCGCTAACCAAAAGCCAACCTATTATACATATGTACTGTATAACCCTATCAGTTATGAAGCCATAAAGTACAGCTTTGCAGTAATAGCGTTCGCTAGTTGTCCATGTTAACGTTTTTTGCGATGCTTCTTAGCAGGAAATAGCATTTTGATTCTACCCAATGGTAGGAAATTATCACCCTCGCATATACTGTATAACCTGTATATTTCGTGGTGGTTTAATTTTCGCGAATTTCGCGAACGAGTCCCCGACCGCGAAAATAACAACACGCGAATCATTCATACCAAATAATGTCATATAATATATTGATAATATCGAATAATACATAATTCACCGACCGCGAAATTAACCACTCGCGAAATTGTCCATCAAGTCTGAATTCGCGAAAAATATCTGTACGCGAAAAATACGGCTTATACAGTATGCAAACTTGGTCGCGCCTGCCGTATGAGTGAGGTTCAGAAGTGGTCGATTTGTACAGAAATTCTCATGCGGAATATTCGGTGGCGCTAATAAGTTGGTATGAAGACATATTAAAAAATACTAATCCTATTATAATATACGCACTGCATAGCACTTCATGCATTCTCATTCATTTTCCACTCTCTCCTTATTATATTCGTCTGCTTAATTAACCCTCATACGCATCTGCCGCTCTACTCGCACTCCCCTTTCCACTCTCTCGCTCTCTTTCGTTGATTATTTCTCAGTCTCTCTGAGTAGGTGGCTCTATATCCCTCCCTCATTATTATATTTCCTCTTTCGCTTGGCTACCGTCTCCAATGCAACATCTCACTCAATGTATCTTGATCATTTCTCACTGTTATAGTCACTAGCCATGCAAATGATTACAAGCACATCTCGCCACGAACGTCTAGGGATCCATAATAAATCCATGAGGACATTAATCACAGAACTTATACATTCATTGAATGATAATTATTCAGTAATCAATTGCAACATAATGTGTGCAACACCCGGTATGGGAGGAGGGTGGTGCAAAACAGTACCATCGTGCAATATGGCCCACCGACCTAAATCTACGCGACAGTGTGGACTGGGGCCTGTATACGAAATACCTTCGAATTATTGTTGTAAACATTATATCTTCAGGAGTGTATAATAATAGATAATAGTCTATTATTATACACTCCTGATATCATGTGACACATACATGCATGGGCCATTAATTACTGTGCAGGAGCTCTGAATGTGGACCATTTTTATAGCACTAACGGCAAAACGGCATACCAACACAATTTTCTGCTTTACTACTCTGTGGATTCTCCTTACTCATGGTGTTCCAAGTAATGCTTTCTACTTAACCGATTTAAATGTTTTTCTTGTGATGAATAATGATATGGAAACAAACACTATAGGAAGCTTGGAAAAGGGCGCATTCCGCCCCGCTTGATACTGGCAATTATTTTCAGTCACGCAAGATCAAGTAAACAGCATGTTAAAATTGTTCCTGCAATATTCTTATTACTGATGCACTAAGCGACTCACGTTTATTTATTTTCAATAAATTCTTACACGTATACTAGCGAAAACGTATAATTAAGATAGTGATAGTATAGATCAGATCTTAATGAAGTATTTTTGATACTAGTATGCATAATCTAGTATTGTATAAAATTCTACTCGCTTCTTAAATAACCTCCAGGGGCCCGTTGTCAGAAACAAAATTAGTCTTAACATTAACCTTTACGATTTTTCTGACAACGGGCGCCAGAATAACTAATCTGATATCTGACCTGGCAGGCATTACACAATATAACACATACATACACATATACACAATATTTTAATCAGTCTCGCAGTGCAAGTCATCACAGAGACCTTCGATTTATTTTGTTTCGTTTTTATTATGGACTTCTTCTAGACGTTAGCCAGCCGTTATGAAATTCCCGTGCTATTTCTTCTTGCATCTTTCCATAGGAAGCGAGAAGGCGAGAACTGCCACTGCTGACAGACGCCAGCCACGTTACTACGGCGGCCGTAAATATGTCAGACAAGGAAAACATTCCACGTCGTCAGCGGTCAGCGTCTGATACCTCCGTAAGTTTGACTTCGGATTTGGTATATGAAATGAATGGCCAATTATTGCGAATTTAACAATAATCCTAGATCCTAAATTTGAGCTTTAAGGCGATTTACCTGTCATATAAAATGTAAAAGGGTATACCAATTAAGAAGGGGAACGGGGTGAGGGTATATTCCTACTTTACTAGCGTCCTATAGGTAAAAGATATATGCCATAAACGATATCGCTAAATAATTAAAATCGCAAATCACAGTTTTTTTTAATTCTTATCTCAACAAATATTGTGATATATTCCCCGTTCCCACAGAATTAACCAGGTCCAATCCTGCGTCCTGAAACTACCCCCTCTAATTACAGATTTCCTACGCGGGTTCCTATCATGGATTTCGTAGGTTCCTAATGTACTCTGTAATAGTCGTTCTCGGCACGCCTATACAAATCATGTAAACACACTGCTTCATAATATCTAGATTCACTTTATTCTCTACACGTGCCTTTCCCAAGGCCCCTAATTAGTTGGGACCATATATATATATATATATATTATATATATATATATATCAACAGGAGTTAATAAATACAAATTTGTCCTGATATCAAGAGTACATAATGGGAGATTATTACCCCCCCCCACCCAATTATGTACTCTTGATATATATATATATATATATATATAGAGAGAGAGGATGGAGACGAGAGAGAGAGAGAGAGAGAGAGAGAGAGAGAGAGAGAGAGAGAGAGAGAGTTGTACATATAATATTTCTATGGTTGGGACAGTACAACCGCGAGTGACCTAAAACTGCATTACCTCATGCGCACCAAGGAGCTATAATAATATAACATATATAAGCTGTTATATATAGCTCCTTGATGCGCACCAGTAACAGTAAAGCGCCACCTATTGCAGACTCTGAGCGACTTTGGTCATCGCCCGACGTTTGAGCGTCGCGCTAGCGGAGTGAAGCTAGTGCGACAAAATAGCAACGTGGTCGGTCCGATTCTCGTCGAGGTACAGGACGACTCGGGCAATGTCGACTTTCCACACATAGATGAGCCAGAGGATGACAGCACCGGTAATAATCAGTTCATTATTATTCACCGAGCGATATATAAATTATGATTCTGTTTGCGCGCTTCCTTCTGCCACGCGCACGGCGAGGAACCAAGAGACGTTTGCGGACGGTAATGAGCTATTAAGAACTAATTAACATCATTTAGTTACTCTACCCCTATGGTCCCCACATATAGAGGAGTGCATGCGTGGATGACGGTAATGTTAATTGGCTAATTATTTCTAAATATATTTTTCTGCAAAATATTTAATGTTACGTCCGTATGTTTGCGTGCGTGGGTGCGTTTGCGTCAGTGCGTATGAGCGTACATAAATAATGAAATTGAAGCTCGGTCGCATGCCGTAGAACAGTTTATGTATCAAGTATGGGTGCATATGTGGGGATGTACTTCATGAATATATGTACTTTCCAGGTCAGTTGCAGATGATGAAATGGCTACTACAAGGTATAAATACGTGCATGTTTACTGTGCATGATCTATCTTCTGTCACTAATATCAACTTTATTCACAAGAGCTGGTACAAATGGATCTCAGTCACCGGATCGCGTAGGCGCCCCTCACTGTAAAGCGGATACAGACCTTTTTTGGCCAATCATGGGTTTGAGAATAGAAATTTATAGTGTAGGGCAGTTCACCAACCACAGTACTCGATTTATTCGGTTCAATATGGATGATAAGCAGAATATACACTGATATCATAATACCAGTTAAGTTAAAGATGTCATAGAAAATATGAACCAGTAATTAATCATGGGTGACTTCAAACGCCCCTCTGTCACCGGATGCCTCTTCACCCCCAAACATATGAACATTGAGGTGCATCGCGTCAGTGCTTCCCGTCTCAATGTATAGTTTTGAGGACAACCTATAAACTTTCTAATCATTTGAGAGCATTATCGCCAGCCATCCTGGATAACCCCAGTATAATCGATATTAAAACTAATTATTAAAAATGTATACTATCGCATATACAGTTACTGAAAGAACTGGATTGCCTACCCGAAAGTTGTGTAACCACGGTCCATGGCCTTGCAATATATAAAAATTTAATTTTGCCAAACGCCTTTTTGCTAATGCCTGGTTCTTGCAAGTATGTTCTTGCATGTGCATGTACCTGCGGTTTGCGAAGAATGTCTGTACAATAAATATACAAGTCTCTAGCGAATAAGACGTACACCATAATTACTGATCTATGAAGCAATTGACGCAGATATAGGCCTACTCATTCGGCCAAAAGGAAAAATCGGGAGCACCTATAAATTTCCGTTGCTGATTTGGCCGACTCTTTTATTCTTCGACACTTAAATTGGCTACGTCACGAATTTTCTATGGTGTATATTTAAAAAAAATGTGTTGCCATTTTTTACATTAAAAGTAAATACTACCGGGACTAAACGTATCGTCAAATTCTTAGCTGATAAGATTGTTTCTCAACTAATTAAAAATCCCAAAAACCTGGACGATTTGATATTATGATCCGGACATTAATTGCTTGCTATGGGCGATGTATGAGCCACGAGTGTATGTTTACATTGAACAATAGAGTAAAATATGAAGTATAATGCAGCAATTTAACCATAAAAATTGAGCAGAATTACGTACTTACATTTTGTGAAAAAGGGAAATGTTTTTTTTTACTTTTACTATTTACGGTGACGTAATCACTTTAAACATCAGCAGCGTACGTTTCTGAACATACTGCCCAAATATACCAATTCATAGCCAATAAACCACAAATTCCATAGTTACGTGTGCACGGGGCAACATGTAAAGGCAATGACAGTTTTCGAGTTTGTCTGGCGAATATTTGAAGGCGTTCAATCATATTCTACTGAATCCTGGGGACAAAGATTCATTGGTGAACTTTTCACTCTTTTCTTATTCTTCCAGGTTTTCTTTCTAGCTTAGAGCATGCCACTAAAAACAGAATGACTGTAGTAGTTATAGTTGCATTGCTTATTTTACGCTTGAAGCTCACTCTGCCTGGATTTACAATCCATTTTTCCCACTGTACATGTTTTGGCTATTCAAAACATTACAACTTTATTATGGTAGTGTAGAACAAACATTGCTAATTGTTTTACTATAGAGTAGTTGAACGCGATTAGGCTAACTAACACCCTGCAATTAGTTACATTGAGATTTGCTTCAGCAACAGTTTTCGGTTCGCGTCCAAGCTGCTAATTGCCACTATAAGCGCTCCAAGCTGCTAACGGTATAGGGTAAATGATCTATGTAAGCAGCGAATGTATGTGCATGTTGATGTTATATAAGATGAATGTGGTTGTGTGACATAATCTATAGGAATTTTCAAGAGCTTTAGAGGTATAATCAACTCTTGATACTTTCGCCAAGATTTTCACCAAATAGGTGCAAATGCCAACTGTCAATCACAAGCCTACTCGTTTTATCTCAGACGATTTTGCGACGTGGTAAGGTCTACTGTGCATGTATTCAGGATTGTATGCGGTCTGTATATAGTCTTTCAGTTTGTTAATATAGTATACATAGGAACTGAAGAACTGGAGAAATGAGAGAGAGAAAGACTGGTTTATACCGCCATAGCTCCGGTTTTATAGATTTAGAAAACCTGCATTCAGGTGCAGGTTACAGCCGTGGCGACGTGCACTCGCATCAAACTGCGAACGGCTTGCGGAAACTAGTGAATTACGCCGACCCTGCGTTTATCGGGGTTCAGCGGGTGCTAGA